GCCTTAATCCGGAGGTCCATGATTGAACCGGTAAAATCTTAGTAGTTTGCGTTTCTTTATATTTCATTTCCTTTTTGCCCCAAAAAATGCTAGTCGTTTTTCTACTATATCTGAAGTCAATTTTACTTAGTTGATTTGCTTTCTTGCAGGTTCCTGTGACACTTCTCGAGTATTCCATGAATGCAGTCACCGAAGGTATTGATGCTATTGCAACAACAAGGGTTTTAGTTCGTGGAGAAGATAGTGTTACATCAACCCATGCTTTGACAGGGAAGACTATCAACCGTGCATTCAGGTAATGGAATGCTCATTACTCCATAGCATTTTCTACGTCGGAATTTCTTTTAAAGTAGATTCCCAAATATACTTAGTATTTTTTTTCACTGGATAATTGCATAACTACCCACAAGATTTTTACTTGGTTACATACTATTAGTAACAACAGTAATAACAATAAACATGGAAAATCAGTTATCTTTACGCTACAAATGCCCACTAGGTACCCCGTGATATATCAGCAGCTGCTCATAGTTCTCTTTCTTCCTTTTTTTTTTNTTAAAATAACCTGATCCAGATCCAGTTGGAACTCCAGTTTAATAAATAAGAAGGAATCTTAACTCACAAACCCTTGCTACCATAGTAAAAAGCATTTTATGTCACATTATACAATATAATACTTTTAAGTAAAACGTGTGCATCTTCTGTATGACAAGTGGCACTGGAGCAGCTATGGATATTGTCATCTCGAGCGTTCGAGCTTACGTTGGTGCACTCAACAAGCTGCTGGGTTTTAAGGACCGATCACAAACTGAGGATCCCAGTGAAAGCAAGGTTTTGCATGCATATAAGTGATGCAACTGTGTGGCTTGTTCTCGGCTATCGTCAGTAGCCTGAAGTTGAGGTCTTTTTCTTCGACTTGTTTGAGATATCCTCGCAAAGAGTGTAGTGTAATCTTGTATTTATTTCATGCGTCATTTGCATTGCATTACTTGACAGATTTGCTGCAGCTAAAAAATCGACTATAGCAAATTAGAGTTAAGAGGGTGTTTGGTTGATGCTGTAAAGGCTCTTAAAAAGATCGCAAGTAGAAGTTTTTAGTGGGTAATTCATATTTGGATTTTATTTGAAGTGTTAATTTCTAGATATCTTCGGTAGTTCAGTTTTCCTCTTAATGGATCACTTCAAATTTGGTTTTAATACAGTAAGAATAATTGAACCATTAGGCGGTGATACAAATTGAATTTATAGTTTTGTGGATTACATTCATACAATGTCTATTTTCCCATCCGATGGTTTAATTTACAAAAAAACATCAAGGACACGAATTTCTGGTTTTCTGTGTAAATGCAATCTTCAATCTCTTCCACACAAATCTTTAGATTATATAGAGTTGCTCAACGCCAGACATCAGACATGAATGATGAATATTATTTAGGGCAATTTTCATTTATACACAGCGTTTCTTAATTTATTGTAAGATTACCAAAGAGATTAATTTATTTGCAAGTTTACCTAATGCATGAAAATTAATTGAGATAATACCTAATTTCGGTTACCTCAACAAATAGAGATCAATGTCCTTAAATGTCGTGTTTTGTTAGTCAGCCGTTATTTTTGCACAGATAAGATATGTACTCAGCCGTTATCGATTTGATGTTTATATATATATATATATGTATATATATATTGGGTTTATATACAGAACAAATACTAAAAAATAACATCAGATCCAGGCGAACATATACTGGACATGTGTATACCGAACATATACTGAAAATAACTCCAGGTCCAGGTGTCGAGTTGTTTATAAATCTCATGAATTTCATTCCAAAACCATGAATATTTAATCCAATTGCAATGTGGAAAAAAAACAGAGAGAGGGAGAGAGAAGGGAGAAGAAGAGATAAGGGGGAGAGAGAAAGAAAAATACAGAGATAGAGGGAGAGAAAGGAAGGATTCCACCGATCCGAAAAAAAAAACAGAGAGAGAGAGAGAAGAAGGGAGAAGAAGAGATAGGGGAGAGAGAAAGTCTACCTTTAATTATGTTGATCAGTTAATTGCATACTCAATTAATTATTTAGTAATTTTGCAATTAATGTTATGCATATGGTAATTTTGTAATAAAAAGTGATATGTGTTGTATATGGTGTAATTTTCTCTATTATTTTTAGCTTTAAGGAGGGCCCAAGGTGTAATTCTATTAAAATATAATAATCATAAACATATTTCAAAAAATTCTTGGATGAATTCAAATTTTCATGATTATTTAAAAGATATGCCATTTAATTGTCATGAATTCTAATTTTCATGAGTTATTATCATATCTTTATTTTATACTCATTCATAATTGAAAAATATTTAATTCAACTTTTTTTTTTTTAATCTAATGGGAGGTATCCCCACGTTCATCTGGTGTTTCTTCGCCACCCACTGCCAGCCTGCTAATCTTAGCAAATAACAAACGTGGGTAAACTCAATCATAAATACAAGTCGAGTGATCAAAAGATCCCAAGTTCATACAGATAATTTGGAAAAAATCCAGACCATTAACCAAGTCTTGACAGGTTAAGTAGATTCAGAAAAAAGAAAAGTCCCAATTTCATTCTTTTCATCTTCTCCTCTCTCTATCGTCAAAGAGAAATCACAACAAAATCAGTCATAAAAAATCAATTGCTCGTCATGGGATGGCTTGATTTATTTATTTTTTGTCAATGTAAATTTTAGTATCAAATATTGAAAAGAAAATCAATTGCTCGTCATAGCTTGATTTATTTATTTTGTGTTAATGTAAATTTTAGTATCAAATACAGAAACGTATAAATTTATTGTATAAAAATATTATCATAAAATTAATAATAACATCCTATAATTTGATGATAACTAGTTTTTTTTAGTTCATCCATTTTTCCTAAAACAATATGGAAAAGTTGCAAAAACATCAAAACAATTTGAGCACTCTAGTGAAATAAGTTTTAAAGTTGCAGAAACATACAAACAATTTGAGAAATTTAGTGAAAAGAGTTTTAGCTAGGAACATCCAAACAATTAGAGAAATTTAATAAAGTAAAAGGACAAAAAATTTCTAAATAGAGAATGTATTTAGTTACTTAGGTCCATGGAAACTTTTATTGTTAATGTAAATTTTAGTTACTTAGTTTTTCTTTTTTATTTTTTTGACTAACTCTTAACTCGGTAAGCTAATTTATCAATTTGAAAGATTTCCTAGATTAAGGTTCACGACTTATAAAATCTTTTCTTTTATTTCTTAGATGTTGGAACTCTCGACTCGGATATTTCAAAAATCTTGAAAAAATAAATTTTGAAAATAAAATTTAATACTTGCCTAAAATAAATACTACAAAATAAATTTAGTTTTTATCAAAATAGGCTAAGACTTTTGAAACAAATTTATCCGAAATTTTTATTTAAAAGCTGAAAGCGGACCTTAATGCAGGAGCTTAATATCATGCCACAAACTTGAACAAATCATGAAAACAAAATACCCACGGCTTAGGGCTCTAAACTCGCGGCAAAAGAAGATTATTTATCAAGCAAATTTCCAAGCTAAAAACCCAATATTCTANTTAACACCTGGCAGCAAAAACCGAATCTAACAGGGCCCAAACACAAGGTACTAAAAATCAATTTTTTTAACAAATCACATAGGCAAAAATCAAGGGTGCTCATATCTCAACTTTCTCAAGGCCAAATCATTAGATAATTGAATTCGATTCTAAACATTTTCAAAAGCAATATAACACCAATTCTTCGAAGCTTAAGGCAAACATTCAGCGGCTAGACATGCTGAAATTTTTGAACAGAAGCTCACAACTCAATTTTTAGGCAAAAAGTATAAGGCAGCAGATTTCAAATTTTGTAACCCAAACTCACGGCTAAAAAAAAAGTGATCTCAACTCCTTTCCAAAGGAAACAATTTGAAAACAAAAGCAGCTGTGAACCTTCGAACTAATCCAAGGCAAAATAGCTTGAAAATTCGAGGCTACGACGAGAGTCCAATATCAACTTATTTCCACAAAATTCTCAAAACTCATCCAATCAAATGAGAAACAAGAGACATCATATGTTTCAACTCTAAATCTCATATAAATCACTAAATGAAGTGATTTCCATGATCTTCCGCAGCATATCAACAGATGCACTCATCTGGAGACCCGAGCCGAACTAAGTAAACAACGAAGTGCGGTCTATAGTCCAACCATTGAATGTCCTTCCTTGGTATTAAACGGTCGAATCTATTGAAAAGATCATATCAGGTTTAAAAGAGTTAATTCTAAAGAATTAAAATCGTTAATCATCTCAGAAGGAATGCAAGTCGGATTATTTTGTATTCAAATTCCAACACGATAAAAGAAAATAAAATAATTTACTCTCGTGCAAGTTTTATATTTACATTATTAACTCTCATTTATATGTTTATATATAAAGAGCACAATAATATTATGATTCATCTACATTGTTTTTTTAGAGAGTTTTTTAACTTAACGATTTTCACATTTTGTGGTACACAATCCATTTAGTTAGTTGAAATTTTACGATAATAATTTCATCACAATATTCTGATAATCAAATGTGCTCTTAAGCCCAAATACTAATGTGAAACTTTTAGTTTAAATCATTTTAACCTTAAGTAAAAAGATCAAATATAATTCACCAAAAGAATTATTTTTAACTATTTATAAATTAAAAATATTGCATAATATAGAAATATTATATTTTTAGTGATGATTAAATCTGCCCTTAATCTTTTTCAGTGTAATTTTTTAAACGATGTTCATATTTTCATTAAAGAATAACATAGTATAAGAAACATAAACAAGAGTATGACATTTAATTGTCCAAGCGTGCATTTTTGTTCAAAATGTTTGATGGATCAACCCATTCAATCGTTGCCTCACATAAGAATTTGTACTTATAAGGTCTAAACTCGCATCTTATCGAAAACTATAAAATTCATATTGGAGTTGAAAAATGAGATATATTTAACTTGCTTACAAATACATTATTCTTAACTAAAATTGTTCCATGCATAATTACGATTTAAAAGAATCATTTTTTAGTTATTTAATTTTTGTTTAAATTAAAACTACATATTTAGTTCTCATTTAGCCTACTCCGACTTGCTTGGGACTAAAAGTTATGTTGTTGTTGTTGTTGTTGTATTTAGTTCTCATTTCTATTTTAATGAATGAATTATTCANCTGAATATCCATATATTGTTTATAAAATGATCTAAAAACTATTTTGTTTATGATCCTTTTTGTATATAATATATCAAACTCAATGTCATATGAAAATTACATAAGTATAAAAACATTTATTGTAAAATTTATCTTCAAGCTCTGTATACTAAATCAATGTTATCTTTTTCTTTTTGGGTAGTCATTTAGAGATTTTCTTTTCTAAAAAATAGCTAATTGATGTTAATAGCATATAGGCAAACACCTTAAAATCTCATAAACTGATAATAGTAATAATAACTTTCAACTAATTATCCATGATCCCTCAAAAATACAAAAAATTACACTATCCATAAAATCTTTTTAATTAATATATAGTGATTCATTTGTAGTTATATAGTTTATACTTATACGGTTCATATTTACTAATATTCAAAGTTTTGAAATATGATACATCCACTGTTTAATTTATAATTTAATAATACATTTATATACATAATTTACAATTTATTTATATGTGAAATATAATGTCTATTATCTAGTTTATAATTTTGATATTATATTCCTCTAAATAATTTATAATACTTTATATATAATTAGTTAAGATAAATAAAGAACATAAACATTCAAAAATACCTTTCACTTAAATGTGCGGCCAAGGCATGCGGAGAGACAACACAAATCTCATGTCGATCGACCATAACTAGCATAGTATTCTGGGCAAGTACCTTGCGCCGAAGCACGTGATTTTGGTAAATCTCATCGACCAAACTTCGTCTGTATACTTCTCTAAACTCTCCATCAATCTCGAAAGACCGAACTACAAAACAAACAATTAAACAATTATAGCTATTGTATATATTAAATAATATTTAATATACAAAAAATTGAGTGTTTAGTGAAATTGAATTGAATTATTGATTAATTCGTTTCAAGGAGTAAGTGTAATATAATGAATAAAAAGAATTAAAGAGAAATCATATAATAGTAAGCACCAATTCTCTCTTCTTTTTGGAAAGACGAACTAAATAATTGATTAGAGAATGAGGTTATGTTTTAATTACAAGACCTTAGATTTTCAACTAGTTTACAATTCAACTTATTACATTTTCATGTTGCACGTAAGCTGAATTCATAATTCACATGATTGAACAAAAACATAATTTGTTCAATATTAAAAAGGTACAACGTGCATTAACATCTTGG